TAAACCCTCTCACATTTGCTAGGGAAATCTCCTTGCTCACCACATCCTTTTGTGCTAAGGACCATTGCTGTCCTGCAGACTCCATTGGATTAACTCATAGCATTTATTTATGGTTATAGAAAGTCTGTAACTCTGCATCTTCATATAGATAACAGTGTAATGCAAACTCTGTGATTTTTCCTTGGTTGCCCCGATTATACTTACTCCAACTGTTTTGTTTTACATTTCCATAAACTTAGAGGACTTGTGAGAGACAGTTTAAAAAAGCATAGTTAAAATCAAAGCAGCAGAGATTATGAGAACTTGATTTTTAGTTAACTTCAAAAACACTTGATCCAACAATTCAACTTTTATTACATCCCTACTACATGTTAAATACTCAATCTTTTAACTCCATGCACCCAAATCTTTAAATGGTGGAAACTGAATTCTTTCGAATATTACTTTAATAAATAAATTACCGTAAAACTTTAATAGCCCAGGCTTTTATTAGCTAAAATGACTGAATTGACCCTGCCTATATTTGGGACAGGCCTTTAATTCCTCTTGCACGAAACTGAAATAGGCTACTATGAAACAGTTTACTATGAAACAGTTTATTTATTTCAAACAGAATATAACTTGTCTAAAAATTATTTAATAATATAAAATATTCAAATGAGGGGATTCACAACTTGGATTCATTTTAATGAAAAGCTGTTTTGATTCTTTTGATCGGTGGACCCTTACAGACTAAAGGAATATAAATAATCAATGAACGGACACATTCAGACTTAACAAGTGCTTCAAAGGTAACGTGAGTTAACACTTCATCTCTTGTACCATGCTGGTTACACCAGTAAAGCTATAAGAATAAGACTTTGGGGCTTGTTGTTTCTGTTAAATGAACTGAACGATTGAATTGTGGAGAATCTGATGATGTGTAGCATGTTCATACTGACATACTGATCACGTTTAAACATTAATAGTTGTATTAACGATTTAAGCAGCTTAGAAACAACTAAAGAGGGCAACTCGGCAGGGTTTAAGAGGTTTTATACATCCAAAGAACTTCTATAAAAACCAGACCAGGCGTTTAATGGAGACCTGCGTTTATTTGTCAAAATGTGTTCCTACACCAGGCCAGTAAAGGAGGTAGGCGGCTATTTGGGACTTGGCTATTAACTGAAGTTTAACGGTAGTCCATCTCAAGCCCAATTTATGATTTTTTTGAGACTTAAGAACTCTCCCTCCACAGCCACAGAAAACATTACACAACTTTTTTCACAGGCTGAGTAGCAATAAATAAATATATAAATATAATACATGATAATGTCAAAAGAAACTAACAGTAGTAAATGTTTTATCCAAAAAACACTAATCAAACCAAATAAATGCCGTTATGTTGAGATCATGATGAGATCTTTAAAAAATATGAATAAAAAATGAGCAAGCAAATGAGAAACTTGAAAATAAATTGAATGAGATGAATAAATCAGTCCTTACATGTGCGTGTGTACCCTCACTTTATTAAATTGTAGACACTTATTATTATAATTATTATTATTATTATTATTATTATTATTATTATTATTTGATTTTGAGATATTTTGTCCTCCTGCACAGTCCATACAACATAATATACCATGATTATCAACTATGGTAAAATGCTGATAAGCTGTAAAATATAGCATGATAACTCAGTAGTCTGCTAGCTTTGTATTTGTACCACCATTACTGATTTTGAAATCTGCTTATTTTGACTACAATAAGACATATCAGGGGAAGCTGCCCTGCGATTTTTGAGTTTGAGACAGTAAGTGTTAATAATTTATGTTCATTAGAAATGGCACAATAGTGGGACATATAAAGAGCCAATCTTTATTCATTCAAATAGAGGTCACCCACACTAGGTGTCTTTCTTCAGTAGATTATAAATTGCTTCTCTCTCCGTCTGTCTCCCTCCGTCTCTCTTCTTCCACCCACCACCTCTCAGCGTTTGAGAAAGTCGACTGAATTTAAATGGGATAAATCATAAATCTGATTAGGCGAATATTCTCTGTGATCTGGAGGGCAATATGGAAGAAAGGTGATGAATTGAAAATGATGAGCAGACTTCTTTTTTTTCTCCATCCACCCCCCGTCAGGAGTTTAGTTGAATAATTTACCAGCAGGGCAATAACGTGAGGTACTTCATTAGATGGAAAAGCTCTCCGGTGTCAGCTGAGATGTCTCCTAATTGAGAAGCCTTTGATGAATCCCGATCAGGAGCGTGACAATTTCAACAGTCTTGAGACGTATTATAGTAACCTGTAATTTTGAACAATTGCCACAGAGGTTTCATACTCTTCCGCAAACATCAACAACGTCATTAACTCGCTATTAACGGTGGCTCAAGGTGGACTGAAGCACACCTCAATGAAAGTTTGTTTTAGATTATAAACTTTACCTTTAGCTGAGTGACAAGGGGTGTTTTTATGTTTTTCTTTAAAGGCATCTTTGAAATCATTCTTACAGGCAGAATGACACGCACAAGACATTTTAGACCCTTGGGGAGACTAACAACACAACATAAATATACAGTACACTGTCTCATGTTGAAAGGTCAATACTGTAAAAGGAGTCCTGAATGTGGCCATGGATTGTTGGCGTCTGACACCTCTGACACCACCTGTTTCCCAACAGGATCAAGACTTTTTCCCTCCTTCCTGCTATGAAAAAGAATATACTGCAGCCGAAGTGACTTGCCAATTTACTTCAAAGAAAAATAAAAGACTCATATTTAATCATAGCAATCCTTTTTACATTAGGCTGAAGATGCATTTCATTACAGGTTGTAAGGTCAGGAGGCAGCATCGACTTCCAAGCCTGATGACTTCACATTATTCAGTCTTGCACCATTAGCTGCAAAGGTTATTAGCTCAAAGTTTTAGAGCTTTATCAGAGTTTGAGGTTAATGAAAAGGAATGACATAAAGTTATTAAACGAAATGGGTTCTTTGCTGGCTCTGTGGCCCAAGATATTCTAGGAAGACTCCTTAAAGATTTTATAGAAACACAAAAGGTTTTACCGACTGACAAATGGTTCTGCATGTTCAACTGCAGAATAGTTTCATGCACTGTTATCTTGTCAATTTCAGTTATTCGTAGAAACCCTATAAGTTGAATAGACCAATGAAAATGCAGTCTGCTTTTGGAAACAAGCAAAAACAATACACTATAAAGCAGTGGTTCCCAACCAGGGGCACATGTGCACACACTTGTACAGTTGCCAGGGGGTGTGTTGAAAGCTTAAGCGGTAGAGACTGCAATTTCATTAAAAGATATATCCACATATCAAGTCAGCTGTAACACCTGGAAACTACATGTTGCTATTGACAGTGGGTGAAAACTAGTCAGCAAGCAAGTAGAGAGGTCTAAACAATTAGCAAAAAGAAATGGATAAATAGTTGAAATAGTTAGCTAAAATTATAGTTTTATGTAAATTATGTCGAATTGGTGTTCGAACTCTTGGTGTGAATCTGTTCAAATTGTGGTGGGTGATGGCCCATAGATAAGATGCTTGCCTTTGGTGTGAGAGACCTGGGTTTGATTCCCACTGTGAGACATCCACCATTGTGTCCCTGAGCAAGACACTTAACCCCTAGAGCCCTGCTCCAGAGGCGTGCGACCTCTGACATGTATAGCAATTGTAAGTCGCTTTGGATAAAAGCGTCAGCTAAATGAATAAATGTAAATGTAACACATTTGGAACATGACGGATGGTGTTACTGAAGTGGCACTTTCATAAAATGTGTGCTTATCTTTCATATAACTTCTACATTTATAACTGTCAGTGCCGCTGAATTTATTGATAAAAAAACACATTTCTACATCCGTTTTTATCTAACCTTGGTGACCTTCTAAACCAGACTCAGTATCCATACAAAGTGAGGAGCGTTTTATCATGCCAGAGACACTGCAGAGGAGGGGCCATTGATCTGTGAAACCACGGTGTCAGACCTCTGCTCTTTGAACAGTGTGTTGACTGCAAGGCTGCACATAAATCATGGAAACGTTTTGATCCTAAATGTTTGAATGATGCATTTAAAAATGTAACTTTTCACTACCTTTCTATCTACTGTACTATGTGCAAAAGGGTTGGGTGACATGGACTGTAAACTTGAGGGTGTTGTGCTTAACTGTCATCAGCCACGCACACTTCTCATCCCATACCTATTAAAAACCTGTACCAGTCAGTGGTGCATGAAGATAACGTAATAAAGACTCATCTCAGAGTTCAAAGTAAAAAAGGCTCACAGCTAGGTTCTGTCATTTATCTTGGTGTGAGATGATGTATGGGGTCTTAGGGTCTGTTACTCTGCATACTCTGCATTTGTCAAATGATTCAAGGTCAGTGTGTTGACAGGGTGGCACCTTGTCTCTTGTCTTGTTTCAGATTTTCATTTTGATATGGAGAACATTCAGCTTGGGTAATGGCTTCTTCTCTGGTGTTCCTTTATGGTGTCTGAGGCTTTCAAAGTGGACTTGAATAGTGTTAAATGTGCTAAATGTGAAGTGGGTGGCATTGAGGTTTGTGGCCAGCAAACTTAAGGCCATGGTTTGCTCCATCCAGACAGGATGGAAGTATCTCCAAGGTGCAGTGAGCAAAAATTTGCAAGGTTTTCAGGCGAAAAAGCTGTTTCAACCTTTGTTGCAACATAATGCAGCATTATTCAGTAAATTGCTACTTTGTCCAGTCAAATACATGCAAACATTCCTTACAGATTAATGGTGTATTTATACTGATTACCTTGTGATTGTTAAGATAGAGGATAAAATGATGTGATCACTTTTCATCCTTCCACATAATATCATAAACCACTATTCAGTGTTTATTCTGATAAGCCTTCAAACTCAAGGATGTTACACTCAAAAAAAGACCTTCCTGGATTGTATTTCATCGTTTCATTGGCACTTGAAGAAATACCAGTTCATCTCCCTGCATTTTTATTTTATTTTTTATTTTTATTTTTTTTACAGGAAGCTGTTTCCTGATTACCTGGTAAGGCCATGTTCAAACAGGGGACTGCAAGGCAGCATTGCACATGGATAAGAAAGGGTGAGAGAGAAAGAGAGAGAGTAGTGGTGACTGACCAAAATGAAGAACTTGGCAGGAATCCAGATTGTTTCCATAGACTAGTTCAACAAAACACAACTCGGTCGCATCACTGCTTTGCCCATGGATGCCAGTCGACCTTGCTGGCAAATTGTCCCATTGCCTACTCATGGTACTGCAACAAACAAGTAAAAATCCTCTGTGGTCCAAAACGCATTTTCTCCGTTACCATTCTAAAAGAGATGTCTGTAAAACTATTGACAGGACAAACTGAAAAAATGTAAATTATTGCTCTTTGGATTACGCATTTTTGAACCATAAAGATTCTATATTTGCTAGACCTTCCCAGAGAGTCTGTCGAACTTTGTCTCCCCTCTTTAATCTTGATAGAACCTAGTTGAGGTGGTTCAGGCATCCAATTGAGAGTGTGCTTCCCAGTGGAGGTGTAATGGGCATGGCCACCTGTGAAGGAACCCCAGGGTTGACCAAAGACTTGCTGGAGGGAATATACCTCACAGCTGGCCTGGGAACACCATGGGATCCTACAGTTGGGGGAATTTGCCCCGCAGAAGCATGTCTGCTGCACCTTGCAACACTGAACAGTACTAGCGGCTAGCAAATGAAGATGTGAATAAATGGAGTCCCTGAGATACGCAATGATTTGCCATCCATCCATCCAACCATTAATCTACTCTTCAATGCCATCCAATACATCTAAAAGCAAGAACCACATGAGCTGTACACATTCCAACTTTTCTGCTCCCACAGCACGCGCGCGCACACACACACACACACACACACACACACACACACCCTCCATATCGCCCACAGAAATAGCGTCACAGTGCCCGGTGCATTTGAGCCACAAACCCTTCTATTTCTCCATCGCTCACTCTTGCTATCCCTCCATCACCAGCTGAGCGCCGCGTCGGGATGCTATCACACCCCAGGCAATCAGAGATACAGTCATATGTCACAAATAGATGTCAACTCTTATTACAGTGGGGAGGGGGTTGAAGGCAAGTGAAAACTCACTTATCAGAAAGGACATAGCTGTAACATAGCCGCCCCCCCCCTTCCCATCTCACTTTCTCCATTTGCTAGGCCCGTGCTGGAAATCTCCTTCTGTCCTTCACAGGTCAGCGGTATTTGACCAATAACACAAATGTAATAACTCTCCCCTTTGCTCTTCTCACCACTGTCCCAGTTGATTTAATGGACCTGTAAACTGCAAGTATAGTTTATTCAATGTTTTTTAAAGAATGGGAGGTGAGCCTGCAGGTATGGGAAGGACATACTGGGCTTCATCTGTACTTTCACAGGGTAGCCTTGACTATTATCAAGTTATTTGGTGGAAATTGGTATGATTTATTGCTCGGTGTTAGTTCCGGCCTAGTTTTGCAAAGTTAGTATAGAAAAGTTTTCATATCTCTTATCATCTTTTTCCATTTATTGCATTTCCTGTCGCCTCTAGGTGTTTTGTGTTGAGAGTGTTTCTGAAACAGGGTTTTAGGGGCATGTTTGTACAAGCTATTTTAAAATTGTAGCTAATGTAGTGTTTGGTAACACATGTCTGATTCTTTTTCATAAGTGTGAACATGTTTTTATCTCTTGTATTAATTGATATATTTTAAAGGATGAATAATGAAATGTATTGACTGCCACTCAAGTGACAAATTTCTGTTCTTGCAAATTTATTAACTCTCCACCAAAGTAAAACGATCTGACACAACGAGAGAATAAAGTCCATATCCAATTCGTTGTGGTAGAAATGTAGCGGCCATTTTATACAAAAGTACACTGGATCTGAACAAAATCAAGGACTTACGTCATACATCATACATGCTTTATCGTGCATTGACCTTGGTCATCCATGCTGTAGCCTTTGTAGCCCGGCGTAATGATAACGTGTGAAAACAAATACTGTATTTGTAGCTAATAAAAGAAATTCAGCTGTATAGCACTTATAGTCACTCCATATAGTTTATCTGTATTAAATCCTTATTGTGGAATCATGCAGCATAGACATCTTTCACTGCAGATACAATAACATTAGTAGATAGTAGATTAGATATATAGATTTCCCTTATACGTTAGATCTGAATCCAGCAAGGGAATGGTGGACTCCGCCAGTACCAATAACAGCGGTGTGGACCCGAGTCACAAATATGGTGACCTAAGACTTGATAAAAAAAAGAAAATCAAATAACACTTGTAACTCCACTTTGGCTTCAACATCAATGACTCATTACTTCACTTGGTTTTGAGCTTTTTGACTTCAACTGACTTGATACCCTCCTCAGGCCCAAATTATGAAATAAAAATGCTGGATGGGTGAAACCGTCCATGCTTTGTGAGAAGCTTTCTTGGCCTCTACCTCCTCCTTTGGCCACTTTATTATACCAGCGGGGTATCTGATGAATGGCAGAGCGTATGTGTTGGCTCAGTTCTTGTTCTTCACATTCAGCTGACTTTTCAGGCCCTACCTCTCTCTGTGTAGGTATTTGGCTTTGGCGGACCACCTTGCTGCTTACTCATGGTTTCTGTTAGCCTGCAAGGTATTTGTGTATAATAATAAAATAAAAGGCCACTCGAAAATGTGCGGTTCCATCACATAGCACAATGCCACAGATGTCGCAAGTTTTGAGGGAGCGTGCAGTTGGTATGCTGACTGCAGGAATGTCCACCAGAGCTGTTGCCCGTGAATTGAATGTTCATTTCTCTACAATAAGCCGTCTCCAAAGGCGTTTCAGAGAATTTGGCAGAACATCCAGCCGGCCTCTCCGGTTGTTGTGGTAAAGATGTCAACTATAAATAGCATCAAAAATGTGGTTTGATTTCATTCAAATCTAAAGGGTTAAACTTTAATTTGCTCAATATATGTTTCGTGTATTTTACAGTTTTCAGTACAGAAATCCAGACAATTTACAGTCAGAGCTTATGTAATTCTGCCAAAACTGATAAATTAATAGATTAACTTCCTGAATGTTGCTGAGTGCACTCAGTTCAACCAATGAAACTGTCCGATTGTTCTGTTCTATAGTTTAACTGAGTAATCACTTTACCCCAAAATACCACAAATATGGCAACACATACAAATGACCGCTTTACATATTAGATGGAATCATGCCATTTAGCCCAGATAGCTGCTCTGTCCTGCACATGAGGCCAAGAACCTCAGCTGTTGTCAATTTCACTTGTGACATGTTTCAGTGTATTTCAGTTCAAAAACATAAATGAGCAGTTAGAGACAATTCTACGAGGGACTTCAAAAATAACCTGTTTTTAAAAAAATCATTAAACCTTTTCATACTTTTTATCATACTTTTTCTTTACCTAATAAAATATGAATAAATCCTTTTCTCCTCAACTCTATTCAACCATTCCCTCCCTCCTGTATAATCACCATCACCATCTGTCCATTTCTCTCCTCTGTGGCAGAAGTGGAGGCTCCTGGACGCCGGCTTCGTCTGGAGAGATGGGGGGGGGGGGGGGGGAATCACCTAGCGAGGACTAGTCAGCCATCAATCTCCTTCTCCGCCGTTCCTTCGTTCACCCTCTCCTGCTCTCCTTCACTATCACTTCCTCTGTGTCTGTCCTCTATCTCTGTCTGTCTGTCTCCCCCATTTCCCTCTCTAATCCCATCTTCAGTCAAAGCTGGACATGTGTGATGGCCATCCTTCCTCCTTCATGCCATCCAGCTAGACCAATATAACCCTCCTCTCAGCCCTCTCCTTATTACTCCTCTGTCTAGATAGGATCTCCAGGAGGCTTCAAGCCATTGTATTTCTCTTGCTCTCTGTCCTTCGGTGACCATCTTTATAGAATGGATCCGGATGGGAGATGGCTTAGCTAAAGCCAAAGTGGAAATCCTCAACTGATGGTTTCATAAGGAGGGCTATCCTAGCTTAGCTGCCACTTTGGGTGTACTGTGCCTAAAACCCACTTTCAGACAAGACTTACCAGCGTAGCCAAGCAAGATGATGTTGGTTGAACTGTAAGCCAATCAAGCTGCTTATGAAAAACCAGGCCAAGATCCATAAAGATAAAGTTGTGGATTAGGTATAAACCTTGTTAAACACTTAAGGGTCTCTAAAAAAAGGGGATCGGGTTATGGCCTCCCTTTCAGTGGCTAATGTCCATGTATGGAGCCTGGGGATCACAGAGGGGTTTTAAGCTAACCTGTCAGCCTAAATTAATGAGGTAATTAAGGGCTCAGGTGGAATTAGCAGTAGACACCTTAAGTGCCCTCGGGCAGTCAGATAGGCAGGCAGCGATGTAAAGCTGCAGTATAGCTGGTGCACAGATGCTGCAATAGAAAGCTGTGGTGAAGAGGAAAGGTCACAGACAACTGTTGCTCTGTAGAACTTGTAGACTATACTGAGTTGTTATGGTCACAGTCTGGTTGGTTGGCATGCTGCCATCGTTCATGATGACAGCGGAAAGATTTAGTCAGAAAAATCTCAGCAGTTTGTTTTCCACTTCAGGTCAATGGTGATAAGGGATCAGGTAACCATAAGGAGAATTTAGGAGGCTCTTTTAGGGAGTTTAATGTGATTATATTACATAGACTGCTGCAGTCATAAAATCGTCCAATTTAAAGCACCCATAAAAGACTCCTGGAATAATATTCAGATGATGGATCCTTAATACTTGCTCTATAGCTCAATGGCTCTTCCCTTTCGCCAGGGTTCTTATGCTACTTCTTATATTTAAATTATAATCCTGAAGATTTTAGTTCTGGTTGATTTGTCAATACATGTGGTTACTGTGGGTAACAGTGAATGCATTTTGATTCTGTAACAAGCACTCCTTGACCAACTACTTTGTAGTAGGTGTTTCTATTTGCAGTGCAGCCAAACAAACTCGCATTGTTTTGATAAGGAAGTCATCAAAGTCATCAGAAGAAGTAATTGGTCTTTTTCCATCTTGCATTGTTTTCCACAAAAGAATAGGATACAGTAGAATTTGTTACGTTGGTGACGTTTTCTTGTTTTGTAGATGCATTTTTGAGAAACGGTTGCTAACCACAGTGACAAATACAATGCATTTCCAATGATTGCTTCAGTAAAAGCCAAAACTTTAAACAGCTCTAATACAACATTTGGAGAGTTTAGCAAAACCAAGTAGCTGATTTTTGGAAAAAGGAGACAAAGAAACACACTCTGTCTACATCAGTGGAGCTGAGGTGGACTAACTAAAGAGTTTTAGGTTCCTGGGAATCACAGAGAACCTGTCATGGTCATCTCACATCTCCACGCTGATTAAGAAATCACAGAAATGGCTATATTTCTTAAAAAAAATTTAACATCGCAAAATTCCCGTGGCAAGTTCTTGTTAACCTTTA